GGATGGTCACACCGCAATCCCTTCTCCTCCATTCTCCTCTCGGGATCTTGGGCACGTACGCACACGTGCCCAGCATGAGTTTTAAGCCACCGGGTCCGGGACACGAACCGCGGTCGACTACATGAGAGTCCAAAGACATAGCCATTACGCTAACTGCTGGTTCCCGGTATTTAATTTTTTAAATTACTTTATTTAACTTTATTTATTCATTTACTTATTTTAATTTGACCAGAGAGGGACAGAGCCAGAGAGAGAGAGGAAGAGAAAGAGAGAGAAAGCGAGAAGGCAAGCTGCCAGGTCCGGGACTCAAACCATGGTTGGTCATATGGGATTCCAGCGCCCTTAACCACCACGCCATCTGCTGGCCCCATGGCTATTTAAATTTGATTCGAGGTTACAGTGTAGGTCCTCAGTCACTCCCGCCAGTTATGTGCTCAGCAGTCACGTGCAGCTGGTGGCTACTATATGGACAGCACAGATGGGGTGTCTTCAGAAGGGTGTATGCCAAAATAAAACACTGGGTCTGTGCTACATTTGTTTCTTCTTGGCTCCCTCTATGCTTTCATTTGCTCCACACAAAACCCTGTCAAGTCAGGTGGGAACATGACTTTTCATTTGTAAAATGTGAAAGTTGAGAAATTCAGTGTTTGGGACCAGGATCACAGGGCCATCAAGTGCAGGAGGCAGGATGATAAGTGGGTGTCCTGGTGCTGGCCTGCTTTTCAGAGCGGTGGGGCCTTCTGAGCTGCAGGTATGGGGGCTTTGTGGACTGTAATGATTCATTGTTGTATGAGATTTTTCTCTAAAAACAATTTTAAAAGCACTAATGTATGTTATGTGTTAGTATGCATGTGTAATTTATAGGTAAATAATAACGTAAATTAGGGAGTTGGGCCCTGGGGGCCCCAGGGAGTGCTCCGTTTTGTGATTCTTGTTCCTCTCTCTCCCCAGAGTTTGGTGGGGTAGCCCAGCACCCGGACACTGTGAAGAAAGTCCACTTGCAGAAAAGGAAGCAGAAGGCCCACGTGCCCTGTCCTCCACAGCTCCCAGAGGAGGAACCTTTTCTGAGAGGCCCTGCCCTGGAGCTGGTGGCCACAGTGGCCAAGGAGCCAGGCCCCATCGCCCCATCTACAAACTCCTCCCCAGTTCTAAAAACCAAGCCCCTACCCAGTCCTGGCTTCCTGTCCCATGCTCCCTCCTGTGACTGCTCACTCTGTGCCAGCCCCATCCTCTCGGCAGTCTGTCTGCGCTGGGTATTGGTCACAGCAGGGGTGAGGCTGGCCATGGGCCATCAGGCCGAGGGTCTGGATCTGCTGCAGGTTGTGCTGAAGGGTTGCCCTGCAGCCACCAAGCGCCTCACCCAAGCTCTCCAAGCTTCCCTGAATTACAAAGCAGCCCCTGACCCTGTCCCGAGCCTCATGGATGGGATCATGGCTCAGGCATACACACAGCTGGCACTGGAGGGCCTGAACCAACTATCAAACAAGAGCCTGGGAAAGGTCCTGGAGTCAGGGCTAAAGTTCATAGAGGAGCGGATACCCCACCTGGAGGCCTGGAGACCCAGCCTGCTTTTGATTCAGGCCCTCGCAAAGCTGGCCAGCCTCGGCTGCTGCACTACCCAACTTTTTACAAGCTCCTGGGGTTGGCAGCCACCATTAATAAAAAGCCCCGTAGACTCAGAGCCCTCAAAGACTCGGAACCAAAAACGATCTGGACGAGGGCACCAACAGGCAGCCTCTGCCCCCCTGTCCCTCCAGACTACCTCTCAGAAAGGTCTAGAAGGTGGAGGACCACCCTGTACACCTAAGCCTCCAGGCCGGGTCAGACCGGCCGGCCCTCGTGTCCCCTTCACGGTATTCGAGGAAGTCTTCCTCACAAAGAGCAAGCCTGAAGTTCCCCAGGCTCCGAGGGTACAGCGGAGGGTCCAGACGCGCCTCAAGGTGAGATGGGACTGTGTCCAGGTAGTGCTGGTGTTGGGTGGGACTGGACCCAGAGCATTCTGCAGAGCAGGGCCGAGGAAACCTTAATCCCTGCTATCTGTAGGGCCCCTGCATCTTCCCCAAGACCAAATTCCAGATTTCCCTTTGTTTCAGACAGAATCCATTTTCCTTAGCTTATCCCTCTGCTTATCTTCTGTTCACTAAAAAAAACCCAGACTTATTGCCCCTAAGATTTGGGGGTATAAAATGAGAATCTTCCTAAGGCTCCTTCTGTGCTGATGCCTCCACAGCGCCACCTGCTGTCAGAGGTGTCTTGTCTCTGAAGGCCTTCCCTTTTCTCTGGCATCTCAGGTGAACTTCAGTGATGACAGTGACTTGGAAGACCCTGTCTCAGCTGAGGCACGGCTGGCAGAGGAGCCTAAGAGACGGGGCACTGTTTGTCGGGGCCGGGGCCGGGGCCGGTCTAGGAAGGGCCCGAGTTTGAAGCCTAGTGCAGTGGCTGCCCCAGATAGTGCCCCTGGGCGCCCTAGGTTGAGTGTCAGGAGCCGGAAGGCCAAGAAGGTGTCATCAGGACATTCTGAGGAGCAGGAGATCCTTTGTGGCCAGGCCAGGCTGGGTCCTGAGATCATGAGGACCATCCCTGAGGAAGAACTGACTGACAACTGGATGGAAATGAGCTTTGAGATCCTCAGGGGCTCTGATGGGGAAGACTCAGCCTCAGGTATGATGGCAAGGGTGACGAGCAGAAGGTGCGTGTTTGGGGGAATTGCCCTGGGGCCAAAACACAATATATAACTGATGCCAAGGGAACACAGAAAGGGTTTTTATGTTTTCTTTTTTTTTTTTTAAGATTTATTTATTTTATTTCATTTATTATTTTTTTTAAATAATGATTTATTATCATATTTTTTTCTTTTTTTTTTTTTGGAGTGATTTTCACTATAGGGCGCGTGTGCTCGCCAGACAGACAGAGAGAGACATAGAGACAGAAAGCGAGAAATCACCCCCCAGGGGGGATGGTCACGCT